TCATGACCTGGTTGACAAAAGAGAGACGTAAAGGNACCAACTTGCTTGGGACCCCCAAATAAAAGACTCAACTAAGATTCTTTGGTTCCACCCAGCTGAGCTTATTTCTCCAGCATCAGAACAGAAGATGTCCAGACCACAATATTTATTAAGACCATGCTATCTAAAGCAGCTGAAATAGCTGAGTTGGGAGGGCGTAAGACTGAAGGACCAAACTGTCTAACTTCATATAGTGATGTCACTATCAAGGCTGTGCAGTTTAGGATCTGCACTTCTACCCCATCATCGATTAGTGCAACTATAGGTTTAAAAAACAAAAACGAAAACAAATAGACAAGCAAACAAACTGCAGGTGCTGCTTAAATGTTTATAATTTAATAATAATATGATGGCTGGCCAGTTAGCTCAGTTAGAGCACGTTGTTATAATATGACGGTCCCATACCAAGGGTTTGGGTCCCATACCAGCTGGCCAGCCACCAAAAAAATAAATAAGTAAACAAATAATAGGAATTCTGGGGGTTTTTTTCCTAGGATCTATCACAGTACTGGATCATGATTGGGGGGAGAAAAATGTTCCTTAAAACATTCCAAGACTCCATCAGTGGGGAAGAACGTGAGAAAGGAGGAGAGGGGCATAGCCTAATTCTAAAGCGTGTGCATTCCCTGTTGGTGTGGATGCTTTCATGACCTGGTTGACAAAAGAGAGACGTAAAGGCAGGGTTGCTGTCTTCTCCTCTTGCTTTTGAGCAGTATCACTGGATCTGTGACTCTAGGTCACAGACCCAAGAGATGCTACACAGAGGCCAGCCTCAACCAAATGCCTTCTGCTGACTGGGGCCGTAAGTCCTAGAGGCATCTGTTTGAGGAATTGATCCACCAGTCGGCCTCCGTTCTTCTAAGGCTGTTCTGAAATCCCAAAACCAAGACCCAGCAGCTCGTGAGTCAGTTACCTTAGAGATCTGCTACAGGGCCATAAACAATATGTTCATGTACAGGGTAAAGACGTTGGAAATACAGGGCTAGATGTTGGAAAGTCACTTGAGATGCCATTTATCATCTGGACTGAGAACAGTTTGCCTGCAAATATTCTCATTTGGGTAATTCTATATCACCTCTACAAAATTTTTCTTTCTTTGGAGTAACGTTGCTGCCAATTGTTTAGCTATTAACCATTTGTAATTTGGGTACCTGTAAGCTCAGTAATGGAAGAAGAAACTTGATATTTGTGCTAAAATTCAAACAATTTCCAGGCAGATTAGAAATTTTAAAAAGTAATTGGTCTTAGGCAAGTCACCCTGTTTCTTTTCTTTACTGTGGAAAATCAGAGAAATGGACTTTGCCTGGTTCAGGATGCTCCTCCCACCCCCTCACCCCCCACNATCTACCCCTGCCCCCTTTAGAATCCAAGCTCTATGAAAGACAAGGTAGTTTGTCTGTTTTGGTATTCCTCTATTCCCAATGACTAGAACAGTGCTGAGCAAGCAGCAGACACTCAAAAAAAAAAAGAAAAGAAAAATCTGTGGAATGAGTGAATGAATATGTGTATACATGTATTGCTAGGATACTATTCACCGTGAGTCTCCAGAACTTCTGCACATTTTGAGAGCAGAGGCATTAGCTGCCTTTGTTCTGAACCATCTTTTCGAAGATGTATAGTGAACAGCCTTGGAAGAAGACAGGTGGCATCTCTCTCCAGAGCAGAGGGCACATTGGCTTATCATCCATAACCCAGGAGCAAAGCTCAGGCAGGCTTAGTGCTTGCAGAGAAAATAGAATAGTTTGGTCAGGCTCCCTCAACTCAGGTCTGGTTGGGGATGGTGCAGCACATTCTTGTAAATAAGTTGTGTGTGGGTGGNTCATAATAATCATATACATTGTATATTGACAAAATAAAAATTTAACGAAAAAAAAAAATTTTTTTAAATAAAAATAAAAATTAGAATACAAAAAAAAAAAGAGACTGGCAGATCAATAAAAGTAATGATACTGATTGCTCACAAGAATATGTGTACTCATTATTGCTGATAGAAATGAAATTAATATGGATAATATTAGTACTAATAATATTCAAAAAGTAATCTGGCAACATCTATCAAAATTAAGAGCACGGACACAGAAGCTGGGTTGTCAGGGTGCAAATCCTGGTTCTGCCACCTCTTACCAACTGTGCAATCTTGGGAAAGTCACTCAATCTCTCTGAACCTTATGTTTTCAGCTGTAAAATGCCTCAAAGAATTATTACAAGTGTAATTGAGTTATGACATATAACAATGCCTGGCACATAGAAAGCACTCCATAAACATTAGCTGTCATAGGTACCCAGCCTAGCAATGACCAAGCCACTGCTGGAAGCGCCCTGGTCTCCCCTGCAGGAATGAGGGGGGTCCACAGGCCTCAACCCCACCCCTCCTCCTTCCTCCTTTTCCCACCCTATTTCCTTCATTCCCCTCCCCTTCCCCCAACTACTCCACAACAACATCATAGAATGTAAAAAAAAATTAATAAAATACTTAAAAATAAAAATAAAAAATAAACATTAGCTGTCATTAAATGATCCCATTGTTTTAAAGCAATGATCAGAAATCTCATATATGCAAATGTATACAAGGTCCCTCCATCTTCCACTGTTGTGTTATTTTTCTCAGTGGCACTTGTCATTTTCCCAATTACTAATATAATTTATTTATTTACTTTNCAACTCAGGTCTGGTTGGGGATGGTGCAGCACATTCTTGTAAATAAGTTGTGTGTGGGTGGTGTTAGTGCACATGGGCACCAATGTATCTTTTCAGTTTTGTTGCTAGTGTGTGTTCTTCAGCTCTGCCTAAAAATAGAGCATGTTTACTTTGCTGGCAGCTGCTCAGTTTTACTTTGGACTTTGCCAGTAGCAGTTGAGTTTTCAGTTTTTCTTTGGACTTTGCCGGTAATAGTTGAGTTTCTGAGTTTCTCTTCGTACTGCCTAACTCTTAGACGTGTGTGTGCTGAATAAAGACTATTCCTACTTGAACCAAGGCTCCAAGGACCTTTCTGCTGGTTACCTAGCTCATAGACCTGCGTGTGAAGGGTTTGTGAACGGGCTCGAGGGGTCTGTGAGCTCCAGACCCAGCCCTAACTCTACAGTGCTCATTACTGAAGAGTCAGGTTCCCTAAGCTCAGGGCTCCTCTTACGTAATGCAACCAACAGCATGTGTGGGTATCATCTGACCCTCTCTGCATCACCATATGGAAATGGACACACATGCTGATACTCTGATTACTGCTATTACTGGGAGTAATAAATTGTCCTTTGTCTCTGACCCAGGATACAGCAACGATTGGGACATTGGTAATGATAAGAAATCTGAATTGGCTCAAACCCCATGGCAGGGCTTGGATGAATGTCTCACCAGAGCCTCACCAGAGAAGGTCTCCACATTTTAGCATATCACTGTATGCACACTAGTAAGGAAGAACTGAGATCATTTAAGATAAACTCTTAGGGTTTTTGAACATTTGCCCAAATTCCACTATATTATGAGCCTTCAACATGCATAGACAGCTTCGCCTGACTTTGGTCACATGACACTCTAATCTACAAATGTGAATTCTTTGGTTGCTTAGTTGTTTACTTCTCAACAAAGCCTTTATTTCCTGGGTAAGGATGTCATAAAAAAAAAAAAGGAAGAAGACAGGTGGCATCTCTCTCCAGAGCAGAGGGTACATTGGCTTATCATCCATAACCCAGGAGCAAAGCTCAGGCAGGCTTAGTGCTTGCAGAGAAAATAGAATAGTTTGGTCAGGCTCCCTCAACTCAGGTCTGGTTGGGGATGGTGCAGCACATTCTTGTAAATAAGTTGTGTGTGGGTGGCGTTAGTGCACATGGGCACCAATGTATCTTTTCAGTTTTGTTGCTAGTGTGTGTTCTTCAGCTCTGTCTAAAAATAGAGCATGTTTACTTTGCTGGCAGCTGCTCAGTTTTACTTTGGACTTTGCCAGTAGCAGTTGAGTTTTCAGTTTTTCTTTGGACTTTGCCGGTAATAGTTGAGTTTCTGAGTTTCTCTTCGTACTGCCTAACTCTTAGACGTGTGTGTGCTGAATAAAGACTATTCCTACTTGAACCAAGGCTCCAAGGACCTTTCTGCTGGTTACCTAGCTCATAGACCTGCGTGTGAAGGGTTTGTGAACGGGCTCGAGGGGTCTGTGAGCTCCAGACCCAGCCCTAACTCTACAGTGCTCATTACTGAAGAGTCAGGTTCCCTAAGCTCAGGGCTCCTCTTACGTAATGCAACCAACAGCATGTGTGGGTATCATCTGACCCTCTCTGCATCACCATATGGAAATGGACACACATGCTGATACTCTGATTACTGCTATTACTGGGAGTAATAAATTGTCCTTTGTCTCTGACCCAGGATACAGCAACGATTGGGACATTGGTAATGATAAGAAATCTGAATTGGCTCAAACCCCATGGCAGGGCTTGGATGAATGTCTCACCAGAGCCTCACCAGAGAAGGTCTCCACATTTTAGCATATCACTGTATGCACACTAGTAAGGAAGAACTGAGATCATTTAAGATAAACTCTTAGGGTTTTTGAACATTTGCCCAAATTCCACTATATTATGAGCCTTCAACATGCATAGACAGCTTCGCCTGACTTTGGTCACATGACACTCTAATCTACAAATGTGAATTCTTTGGTTGCTTAGTTGTTTACTTCTCAACAAAGCCTTTATTTCCTGGGTAAGGAAGTCAAAAAAAAAAAAAAAAGGTTATATTTAGGGTTGTTTTTTTAAAGGAGGTCTTTGAAACTCCATGCTTTGCCCTTATCATCCTACTGAAATAATCATGTCTCTTTCCAGAAAGGAAAATCCACATAAAGAAAGCCTTATAAAAGAACCAGCTACACTGTTTCATGTTAGAATTCTTTTACAGGCAACTTGATAAGCTTTGGAGGACTGGCAAGTAAAGCAAGTGTCTGATTCAAAATAAATAGACTGGGCCACAAACATACTTACCAGCCTTTGCAACAGCCTGAGTTGTCTTGGGACCCTCAGTCCAACCTACAAAAGGAGAAGAGACATGAAATATGATTGTGAGGTCATTTTTAAATGAATTACATGAGGGGGTTAAAATCGATTCCAATCACCAAGAGGTCTGTCCATCCTGAAAAGGAGTTTTGACTTTTTGCCAGGGCGTTTGTTTCTAGGCCAGAACTAGAATTCCTCCCTCTCAGACGTGGTTGGCTCTTATCCCATAATGTCACTCCACCTTGTCACCTGGGAGTTCTTAAATCTGTTAGAGGAGAATAGATGAAATGACGAGAACAAGAAGATACTTAGCATCTTTGTATTTTGTCTCATTTGATTTGGAGCTTGTAATTAATCTCTCTGCTATTGTGTCCATTTCAATTAGTAAAGGTATTTAGCTTTATTCTGATGGGCTCATTATTCAATTCTAAACTCCAGGAAGCTCTGGAAGCAAAAGTGAACTTACCTTAAATTTTCTTTTCTTTCTTTTTTTTTTTTTTTTCTGGATGATTTGTTATATTTTCCGACATACAGTGGAGGGACATGCAAGGTGATAAAATAGTCTTTTTTAAAATTCATATTAATAATTAACCAGGCCCTCTGAACTAATTTAAAAGTCTTAGTTGGTTGTTGAACTTTATTCTTAGCAAATCTCCATTTCAATCACAGAAGTCTAAACTGTTAATTGCTTTGAGTAATAAAATTATCTTTCTGAAGGGCAATTTGACAATGTAGATCAAATATTTGAAAAATATGCCTAAACTTTATGTATATTTTTTAAACAGCCTTATGATGTGTAATGTACATATAATACAATTCACTCACTAAAGTGCACAAGTGAATATTTTTTACTATA